AACACATTATTTACATTTCAATCTTACGTCGCATCATACTCAAGTCACTTAGGCCAGGGGGATCATAGAGGCTGACGCTACACAATTTCATGACCAACGACTTGATTGTGGCAACGTGGTCAGTATTGCGTACAGATCGTCTTTATTTCCCAGACAAGCTGGTACTTATTGAGTGGGCTTTGAGCTGACACTGATGATTGATCCCAGTTCCTTACAATGACAGATCAGTGTCTTAAACATTGAGCAATCGCGGCTTTTATAATTAAATACATATGTCAATGCTCGAGAATTTATTCAAGAAACCAATTAATTTAAATTTTGTTTTATGGTTGCACTTAATGTTTACATGCATGAAAGTTTCTATAAAATATATATGTTGAAAACAAAAAATAAATAAATGAAACATGATTATTTAAATTAACCCGTATTATGCACCGAAGAGCCATTACATTATGACCACCCTCCATCTATAACAATGGGCTCACCCAGGTTTTCATGGTTTCTCGCCCAGGAACAATGTTTTCATGGGACACATTAAGACCCATAATCCTCATAGAACAATCCCTGACGTCTGTAAGCTACTTGAACTCAGTTGCAGACCAGGTTCACCCATTCATGGCAACAATTTTTCCTGCGGGGGATGGCGTTTACCAACAGGATAATGCACCATGTCATAAGGGTCGAATCGTCGAGGAACATTCCAGTTACTTTCAAGTCATGTCTTGGCCCCCAAAATCACCTGACCTTAATCCAATAGAGCATTTGTGGTCCTACTTAGAAAACCAAATTCGTGCTGCCACGTACCCCCTCGCTATGTGAGGGAATTGCTGGATCAGTTGGTGAGCGCTTGGTACCAGATACTTCAGACTACCTATCAGCACCTTGTGGAATCAATACCACGGCGGGTGCTAGCGGTTTTGAGGGCTAAAGGTGGTCCTACATGTTATTAGCTGGGTGGTCATAATGTAATGGCTCTTCGGTGTATGAGAGCAGCACGACAGTAAGAATTTAAGATTTGGCCAATGTTAGTAAGTAATAACTGATAGATTAATTAAAATTATATTTTCTTAAACCATCACAATTTAAGTTAATAAATGTTTTGAGCAGCATATCGACAATGAACACGTGTAGATCAAAACATTTATTAGTAAAAATAAAAGTGTAAAAGCATTTCTTTTATTTCAGGATGTTATATTAGATAAATACGAAAACCAAACACGACATTATATTTATCTTTCAAATTTATGTGATCATAATAGTTAAAGCGACGATTAAAATTGTTTTGAAAGTTAAAAGCTTAAAAAAATATTTTTTTTTAGTAAACTAAATTAACTTAGTTTCTGTTGTGTATTTTATCAATATTATATAAAATAGACTAACAAAATGGACAATATTATGGACTATCTAAAGCAATTTTATAATTTGGTACATTAAATTCTGATTCTTCTAGAATAGAACCCTAATAAAACTAACTCATCAATTAAAAAAGAAAGTGTTTAAGACTAAACATTGTACATTTAACTCATTATGCAGTGTTAAAAATTTCTAATAAAGAATGTAAATCAAGTTACAGATCTGAAACAGTTTTTAAAACTTTTCGTGAAAAAAATAATTAATTGTTTAAAGTGTCCCTTATTCAAGTGATTATAATAATGCTCAACCCTAAAGTTAATAAAGTCAGTTTGATGATATTTGTTAAACCATAAGTAAAATAACAATGAATTTAAAAATATAAATATTTATCGAGATTGAAATATAGTGAAATAAACCAACCATAAAAATATTGTTTGAGGTTAAGTTCAAAAATATTGATAAAAGTTATGAAACGCTTAAATTTATGATAAATTTACCTTAAATGTAATAGAATCTGAAACATTGGAAATTATATGATATAATTTTGTCACTTAAAAAACAATATTTTAATTTTTTTTCTCTATTATTTGTATACCTTAACAAAGCGATTGTCTCCTTAAAAATATAGTTAGTTTTACTTTATTTGGTTGAAATTTTCATTTACGATGAAAAATTACAAAACAAAAGTTAGAAGTTTGATTCGAGCATCTGTTTGACAATTTTATGCAAAATAATTCATTTTATCCAAACGTAATGAAATACCGTATAAAAGTATTCTGATATATGCGAAATGTTCTAAAATTTTAAATTTACTACTTCTTTATACAATATTTAAAAATTAATGATTAATTGTAATTAATGAATTAATTTTTCATCGCATTCATCAGTTTACTTTCATCTGAATTTCAAATTTCATAAGTAAAAAGCGCCTTTTCTGTCATTGTTTAAAACTCAGGTCTGATAAAGTTAAAGCAGTATTAAAATAAGTGATTCAAAACTTCACTAAAACAAGAAACTTATGGCATGAATTTGACCTAACTCATAAAATTGTAGCTAAAATTATAGTCTGAAATTTACCCGGCATAAGTGACTTAAGTTTCTCGGGTGGCTGATAACTTTACGGTACTAAAAATATTTTGCATACATAATTTCACTTAATGTTCCTTCCTTGTAAGAAGTGATCTGATCTAAAGTGATCTTTCAAAAAACATCTGAAATGATCTTTCAAGAAATATCCCTACAATGGAAGTCTTTAAACTTACTGTACCGGTTGTTATGGCTACCGGTTGCATTCATCTAGCCAGTTTTTACAAAAATGGCTAAAATTCACAGTTTTAAGGATTATTTTGTTGGAAGTGGTCTATTGATATCAACTTTTCCTTTACACAATTAAAACATTTCCCCATTTTCATTAGAACAGATAGTATCTTATATCTTGAGCTTAAACATCTAGATGGCTCAATAATAAAGACATTAGATTAGAATTACATTTGAATTAGTAATTAGAAAGAAGAAATTTTTTTTTTTTTGGAATTGGTTGGAGAAGATACTCTCCTTTTTCCAATCACTCACTCAATTAATATAGCAATAACATTTAACAATTAATATATCAATAACATTTAACAATAACATTTAACAATCGTATGATCAATTAAAAGAAAATAATACAGTGCCATGTTTTATAAATATTGAATGCACTTGCATTGCAGAATTGAACTTTTCTAAACATAATTGTATCGAAGAAAAAAAAATTGTTTGAAAAAACTGATTAACTAACAATGTCATTTGTTAGCAAGAACATGGTATAATATAGAGATATTGAGATTAAGGTTTACAAATATTGAAAACCGGGTGCATTGCAGCATTGAACTTTTCTGAACATAATTGTATCGAAGAAAAAAAAATGCTCGAAAAAACTGATTAACTAACAATATCATTTGTTAGCAAGAACATGGTGTAATACTGAGATATTGAAATTAAGGTTCACTCATGAAAAATATGTGTATGATGCTTTGTAGTTAATATCCTGAGTATATATTATTAACCAATAATTATTTTGGATATTTTTTGGAAGAGGTGAAATTAAAGTGCTTTTCATGACATCATAATATGACATTTTATCCAAGCTCGAAGCCAATACACTGTTTTGGATGACAGTACGATTCCTACTTTGTGGCATTTTTAAAGGCTGGAATCATGTAACTTCCAGGAAAGTAACCAGGATGTACATCTCTAATTCTCTTGGTAGAGTATTAGGGGTCGTAAGTTAGATCCTGGCAGCCACCTAAACAACCAGTAAGAATGTGCACATTAAATCTGCCGTGGTTCTCTAAATCAAGCAAATGATGGATTGAAGCAAATAATCCAATGAATCGACACAACTTCCGCCGATATGCATCACTTTAAGGTGACTCTGTGACAGCGCCACCTAAAAAACCGGTAAGAAGATGCACGTTAAATCTGCCGTGGTTCTATAAATCAAGCAAATAATGGATTGAAGCAAATAATGCAATAATCGACACAACCTCCGCCGATATGCATCACTTTAAGGCGACTCTGAGACAGCGCACACCGGTAAGAATGTCCACGTTAAATCTGCCATGGTTCTATAAATCAAGCAAATAATGACTTGAAGCAAATAATCCAATGAATCGACACAACTTCCGCCGAAATGCATCCCTTTTGGCGACTCTGAGACAGCGCTTTACTGGCTTGTCAGCAAACATTTAAGGCAATAACTTCAGCCTCTGCTTTCGATTGTACCCATATATTTATTCCTGTTTTTGTATACCCTTTTATATTTGTTTGTGACTTGCCGTTGGAAATTAAAAAAAATTGGTTATGATATAGACGTTGGGAGAGAGAGTTACCAATTTAGGCACTACCTACATCGTTTGACCAGGGTTATAGTCTTGAAAAACAGGACCTGGTGCGTTGTTGGGTGTTGTATTACTTCAAGGTATTTGCTATGCTGCAAGGTCCCCCGTGAATTTGTATGGTAGCAAAATCGATTAAGCCAAGTATGTTGGCTTGCGTAGAGTTAAGATATGAACCCAATAATAAAACCTCTGGGACAAGTTAAATCACTGATATAAGGGGTTTAGCACCGATTTCGGAAACGATTCTTCGGTTTCCAAGTCAAGTGGGAAAAATAACAATATCTATCATACAAATACTTGTGAAAAGTATACTCCAGAGCCTTGAACTATTAAAAACATTGTTTTCAATTCATTTCAAAAATATTGTTAAAAATTTTGTTTTTATAATTGTCCAAATACTTATTGGTAAATAGCATATATTTTTAGAATCTTTTTTAAAAGTGAAATATAAGCAGTAAGCATATTAAGAGTCGCCAATTAATATTTAAATGAATAAAAAAAAACCGTATTAAAATCTGGCAAATGACTATAGAGAACTGCAGGCTAAAAAACACCATAGATTGCAGATGAATATGAGGATATTTCTAATAATCACATTCATCTCTATTTAGTTTACTCCTCAAATCAAATAGATTTTATTGTTTTTTTACTCGTCCTCCTCATTAAAATATTCACTAAATTTTGATACCTTTTGATAATGGTTTCATTGTTTACATATTCATGTGCTACCCCTGAGATATATAACATATTTACTTCCTTTTTTCGAAATCTTAAAAATGTATTTTAAGGGTGGTGATCACAGACCAGCTTGTATGTCATGTTTAACATGCAGTGTGAATGATAATAATAATATACGGGATGTATGTTAAATAGGACATTTAGGGTGCATGTTAAATACAACATATTGGGTGCATGATAAATATATCAAAAGGGGTGTATGTTAAGTGCAATATTCATGGTGCTTCGATACCCAGTATATAACTTACAGGATATTAAATTATAAAGCAACAGCAGTACCCAAGGAAAATTTCTTAATTTCGTGCATAATTTTGAAAAAATAAATAAATTTAAATTTTAGTGTCTCATAATTTTGACAATAGTATTCAAACTGATTTTCAAACCAGTTATGTCTAGCTCGATTTATTTTTAGTAAATATTTCTTAACTAAATTGAGACAGCAGACTTAACTTTTTTTTCACAGTATCTAGAATTCATATAGAAATTTTCCAAAGAGTGCCTTACTTAAGAAAATTTGGGAGAGGCGATTTTGGAACAAAACATCTCGCGACGATTTTGGTCAAAATCGTTTAGATTGTTACGATGTTTTTCAAATTCAGGCATTCTAGTTCTGATGCCAAGGAAATATTTTAAATTTCGATGATATCTCTTGAAAAAGTGTACATATCGAAAATATAAAGCTAATCGAATTTTTGTAGTCTAAATTCTTTATACAAATATGGTAATGGTCAAGACGTATTTTTCAACAATATAAAGGTTGCTTAAATGAAAAATGGAGACATGTGAAAATTACTGGGGCGACAGAAGCGCCACTATTCAAGGTTTCAAAGGGAGGTAAGTGGATTATACCACTGACTGCATATGACTGATAAATTATTTCACATAAGAGCATTCAAAGTGAATGCAAGAACGAGATAAGGAACATGCGTTCAGATAAGCACAACTCTAAGAAGAATGATTTTATCTCTCTTATCTAACTTTATATTCACTTCATTACATTCATTTTATATTCAGTGCATAAATAATGCAGTTTGGTTGGAATGAATTTCAATCCGGCTTATGGCATTTCGGTCCCATTATTTCAGTACCGAAATTTCGGAATGTAATTTTTGTTCGAAAGTCATATTTTCATTTCATTGAGGAGTTTCGCAAGAAATCATCCTGATACAGAAGTACCCAATGACTAAAAGATGAAAGGATTAGTTCGATACTGGTCATTTAGATCAGAAGCTGACAAGAAAAGAGCCATTTTGGATATTAAATAACAAAAAGAGATTTAAACAAAAATTCTGCCTCCATGGACAAAAATACGCAAGAAAAACAACAATGGAGAGTGGCATTTCCAATTTGAACAGGAAAAATGGCATTTTAAACACTTATAGTAACGTCTAAAGTTTCACAGCTAAAACTAAATGTCAACAATTCATTTGATCTCTGTGATACTTAACTTTCTTTTCAGCTTTCAAACTGGTGCTTTTATAGGCTGTTCAACTTCGACGTGCGTGACTTAAGCCTCTAGAGATCCAGTGTCCAATATATTGCACAACATTTGGTACAGATTTATCACTTGAAGTGTAAAATATTTTAAGAGTTTTTCTTCTGTTTGTCTGCCTTTACAAAACTATTGTCTATATAAAAATATAAGTGGATTTATCTTGTTGGTTGGAATTTTTTGTACAGTGAAAAATTATGGCGAAGAAAATTTGATTCAATTAACCGCTTAAACAGATTTGTTCTTATTATCTGAATCTAGGGGCTTTTGTTTTATGTCCAAAAAAGGAAGAAATACTCAATAAAATACACTACCATACGCAAAAAATTAAAATGCATAATGTTTTATGTAATAATTAAAAAACTGAAAAAGCTAATTAAATTTAATTAATTGACTTTCTTAAGAAGTATTTTATTGACTTTTAGGTTTACTTTCTTCTAAGCTATATATTTCGGAGTGAAAATTGCAGTTTTTTAAACAATTATTTAAAGCTCGGGTCTTAGGTTAAACCGACTTTGTATAACAATGTTTTTTTGTATTAAATTTATATTATTTTGGAACTATGGTTATAGATTTTAAGGACGTACATTAAACTTGAAGCTCATTGTATCGTTTTATCGTTACTGAGGCAGGTAAGTGATGATTTTTTTTCAGGGTATAATACAATTGCTTTTCTAGTTAGCTATCTGTCGTTCCAGAAAATAGTACTACTAGAAATATCATATCTATAATTCTTTCTAAAGGATAACTAGAATACTGACTTTATTTATCTTTTTCAATTGTTGCTCTAACTAAGAGCAATCAAAATTGGAAGACTGTTAGTTAGTGATTAATACGAACAAGTGAGTCCTACTTAAATGGAATTATTTAAATTATGTTGTTTTGAATAGACATCTGTACATTTTTTAACAAATTCCTCATTCTGAAGGAATATTTTGAATACTTTTTAAGGAATTACTTTTCCTAGGAATAGTAGTTCCAGAATAAAACTGCATAGCACCAAGTTCTTACTTCATTTCTCGATGCGATTCTAATAATCAATTCTACGTATCAGACGATAAGTTTCGCAAGTGAAAAAACACATCAGAATGACGTCAACTACATAATCAAATATTTTACAAATTTGACGTCCTCCATATTCATCACAGCGGTAACAGACTTGAAGAAAAAGTAGGGCAGGCGCATCATGTAGGTAAAGAACTGCTTAGCAACCCATGGTCGGAATTGTCATCGCCGCTAGGGGCGCCTTGCTATTATGGACTTGCTGCTCATACGCATTAGAACCAGAACTTTCATTTAACAAAAATGGCTTAATTTTGTGTTCTCTAACAACTATTGTTAAAAATTGTATTTAAATACTCTCTGTAATAGCAATTTTACCGCAATTTACTGATTTAGCAACCAACTTGGCGAGTTCTGCAAAATAATCGCCAAATCATTGGACTACCATAAAACAGCTAAATTTGGACCTATTTGAATGCCATTTTCGACCAAATTAATAGAGGAAACGAAACTAAGATAACTTTTATAAATGAAACTGTCCGATCAAATGCGCATGAACATGCATCAGTATCAGGGGAAATTCTCTAACAACTACGATAACATTTTCGGTCATAAGTTTCTATGCAATGCCCAATGATTTTGATGTGCCTTATTACAAAGTTAGAGGAAACATAAGTTTCCTCTAACTTTGTACTGTTGCGCTGAATCACTCTCCTTATTTATAGTTGGTAAACTCATTGCTTCTTTAGGAGAATTGATTTATGAATGTGTGAATTAACTTACGGCAAAACTCAAGTGCAGAGTTCATCAGTGAAAACTGCGCAAAAATAGTGTCGTTTTATGTAGTGACGCTATTCATGCGCACTTTTCACTATCGAAACATATCGCTTCGCTCATGAATTGGGGAGTATAATAAAAAAACTAACTATCACAATATCGATTCACATCAACAATAATTTTATGAATAAAGATGCCATTTTTAAAAGTGTTTAAGTTACTCACGAATGATATGTTTTCTTAAACAATGTTTAGTTATTTAAGAGATCACAGTTTCGTAGTTGCGTTTTCAGTCTCAATATCCATATCCAGGACAACATCAGGACATTCAATATTGATGGAGTCTCCTGATTGTGGTCGGGATTCTCCTGATTGATCACTATGGAAAGAAAATTGATCCGGGGATGTCAGGGTTCGCCGCCGAACGTGTTCCCGAAAATACCGTCGTCTTCTATCCTGTGGAATGCTTCGATGAGTTTCAGGATTAAATCTTGGAATTTCTTTTGGAATTTCTTCGTTATCCGGTGGAATGCTTCGATGAGTTTCAGGATGAAATCTTGGGATTTCTTTTGGTATTTCTTCTTTGACTGTGATCTCACTATTATCAATTTTGGAAGTACTGGCTTCGGCCTTTTCAGGTTCAAAGCATTCGTCATTTTCTTCTTCGATGGAATCATAAATGACATCATGAGTTTCTGGCACGCTTGGATATGGTTTATCACTAATTCTTTCTAGAAAATCAGGAGTGGGCGACATATAGCCTGGATAGTATTCTCGATTATCAACCCAAGATGGAAATTCTTCTTGTGGCTTTGCAGGATAATCGAAGTGGTCCTCATCCACACGTCTCCAAGGTAAAATTGTTTCAGTCAGGGTACGCTGGGGTTCAGGTTCAGTCTCTGTAAGAATAATGTACTTGTTAATTAACATAATCAACAGTTTAAAATAAGTTTCAACATTGTAAACGATAGGGTGCAAAATGAATGGTATTCTCAGCTAGTCCTATCTTCTTGACTGGGCTACACTAAGAGGTGGAGCCGAGTGTGAAGGTTGAACCATAATCAACAACTAATTAAAAATTATGCTTAATTTCTCTTAAGCACAATCAGAAAATGATTCCATTCTAAACAATCAACTGCACTTAAAGCAGGAAACTATATAACATACAGCTTATAATTCTATTAGCAAAGCAAAGTGCATAGCAGACACAAAAAATTCATAGTTTCTTTAAAGGAAGACCCTGAAACCAGATGATTCAATACAGTGTCTACAGTAAGGTAGTAAGCTTCTGTTCATTAACTGTTGTATTTAAAAATATTCATTAACACTACTGGGGTATGTTCAGTTACAGATCTGTTTATTTTATATTTTATAATTATAAATTCTCTTAATCAACATAAGTAAAATAAAAAGTTATCATTATTTAAATCATGTTTTACCTGAAATTATTCTTGAAAATACAAGTTTATTTTTAACATTTCCTTTAAATTTACAAAACTAAAACCTTAGAAGGGTAATTTCTTCTCTAGAGTTTTTTCTCATGCGGCGAAGCCTTAAATAAAGTTTAAAATTTAGAAACATAGACATTTTCTTATGACTTAAACTTGAATATTTTCCCGAAGTACCTTTTTGAGTACTTTAGGCTCTGTGAGTAGGTGTAGAATCTTTTTAGAATGTTCATTTTTGACATATATGCGATATGTTGCTATAAAAATATTTGGTTTTAAACTCTGTTCATATTATTTCTTTACATCTTATACATAGTAAAAATTTTGTATTATTTAAACTATGAAAATTAGTGAATAAAGTGTTTAAAGTTTATTTTCATCAACTATGATCCATAATTTACCAATGCAAGTTATAAATTTTATTTTTAGAATGATGCTCTAACGATAATTTTTCACATGGTTGGAAAAAACAATGTGTTGAAAAAAGAATGTGAAAAGAAAAAAATTCCTTGTTATTAGCGGCATTTTCTTTCCCAAACAAGCAATAGAAATATTTTATGATTAGGACTTAACCTGTTGGTGAAGTAGATTTTGCTATGAAAGAAATCACTCCATCATCTTCTTCTGAAGGAGTTGTAACAGTGACTTGAGGACGATTTGGACCTATAAATATTTCAATACAATGTTTCAAATAAGAATTTGGAAAAACTTAATGTTTAAATTTGCAAATATTAAGTCATAAATATGTTGACAGTTAAATAAAATTTTAATGCATATTGAAGATACTTCCTGTATCACTTGATGTAATTATCAAATTTTTAAACATTGAGCCATAATATTTTGATAATGAAATAAAATTCCATTATTACCTGCAACCCCTGATAAAATGATTAGATTTTCAAATATTAAGTTATCAATATTTTGATTATGAAATACAAAATATAATTCATTTTAAAGGAATTAACTACAATCCTTGATAAAATTATTGCATTTTCAAACATTAAGTCATTAATATTTTGATTAGGAAATTAAAAAAAATTATTTGATTTTAAAGGAATTACCTACAATATTTGATAAAATGAATGGATTTTAAAATATTAAGCCTTCAATATTTTAATTGTCAAATTAAGCATTTTATTTTACATTAAAGGAAATTCCATACAATATTTGATATAATAATAGAATTTTTAAATATTAAGTAATCAAAATTTTGAAAGACAAATAAAAGTTTCAGTTCATATCATGTTACCATCTGATATCTATGATAAAATAAACGGATTTTTCAAACATTAAGATAAAATTTATTTCGACTTTCAAATAAAAACTTTAGTAGATATTGCAGGAACATCCAGCAAGATATGATATAACAATTGGATTTTTAACTATTAAGTCATCAATAATTTGATTTTTAAAAGAACAAGTAGTTAGTATGGGAAATCAGAGATATATAATTCGACAGTTGTTACATCATACTAATCGAGATAAATAGGGGAGAGGGGGGCACATGTGAACATGGCATGTTTTACCAATATGATTTGAAAGAAAAAATCTTGAAAAATTTTCAATAGATGGTAGTTCTAGTCCTACCTCTCTGCCAAACTTTCAAAACAATGAGCCATTTTGTTGTTCTATTCTGACAATTTCCTTGTATCGGCTGGTGTTGTATATACTTTTATCACTCGCTTCTTCAAGTGAAAAATTAGTATAAATCAACTAATAAGCTAAAGTTAACTATTGAAGACCATTATGTGAACATTCAGGTACGTTCATGACAATTATTATTTTTTTTTTTACTTAATAAAAAATTCTTTATTTTTCAAGTTAGGTTTAAGAAAGATGATGGGGCACTTGTGAACAAAACATTTGGAGCTGATGTGAACAGCTTACATGTGCCCCTACATATTATTAAGATTATTATCCTCATGATATTATAAATTTAAAAAATATGTACGCATTTAAAATTATTATTATTTAATTTTCCATAATTAATTAATTAATTGTTAATTTTTTCTTTAAAAATTTATGGTTACTAATGATCATTAGTAAATTAAAAATTTACTAATGGTCAGGTAGAAAATGTTGACAATGATCTTAACAGTAGTGCCATCAGTACTTTTCCTACACCAAAATCAATCCGACCATTTCCAAGAGTCCAAGTGAGTGACTTAAAAAAACGAAAACGCGAAAAGGAAAAAATCACGCATATTAACTGATACACCTGAGAAAGATAGAATTGCTAAAGCTAGAAATGAAAAGATAGAAAAAAAGAAAAAAAAAAAAGAAAAAGAGTATCAGAGAAGAAAGAAAAAGGCCCATTAGAACTCCTGAGGAACATGAAGTTGCGAAAAACCCAATTGACGAAATTAACCCAATAAGCTCACATAAACAAATAAATCCAATAAATTCACGTAGTAAGCTAAAACCCCTTCAGTATAATGTGTTTCTATATGTGTTATATTAAATATTTTTTTCATTTAAATACGATGATTGCTTTGTGTTTTTAATCTTGTTCATATGTGCCCCAGGCATGTTCACATGTGCCCCTATAGGGGGCACATGTGAACAATTGAAGTTATTTTTCTAAAATATCATAAAGAAAATAAATATTTTATTGAAAAATCTCAAAAAATTCCATAAGACAAAGAAAAGACTATTTAAACACATGGACTTCTTTATTGTGAGAAATTGATTGTATTTTTTGAAAAATGAAGAAATAAAAAAAATTGTTCACACGTGCCCCCCTCTCCCCTATAGAGTAACAGCATAAAATGGGCAGTAAAAGTTAAAGAATCAATGATTTCCAAATATTTGAAGAACATGATACAGTGGTAAGCTCATTAATACTAGAATTTTTATTTTTAATGATGTGAATATTCTCCCGGAAGTCTAGATCAATGCATGAAATACATTTATGAATGATATCAGTTACGGAAAAATTGCATTATTATAAAGGGTAATCATCTGCGACTGCTCTCCTGCCTTAATTATTGAGTCCATATTTTGAGGGTCACGAACCCAAATCCGTTGAAAAAAAGTGTATTTATACAGAGAAAGTATGTTTTTGCGCCCGATTTCAAAACTCGTGTCCTCTATACAAATTAATTAGCACATTTAAGGTGAGGCAATTGAATTATTAACGTTGAGTTTTAGTACGCGAAAATCCGATCATTAGATCGAAAGATATTCAGGGTATTCATTTTGTTTACGTATTGTATTTTCTTATGGAGAATCCAAATCTGCAACAAAAAAAATGGGTAATCTTATTTAAGATTTTGAAGTTGCGCTTCACAAATTGTGTTAGGGATCGAGTTTGATTTTACTAGATATTCCTTTTAATCATCAATCGCGTCCATTTTTCTCTTTTCGTGAACCGAAATGCACCCTAGGTAAACTGGAATACTTTTTTCTCCAGATAACCAAATCCGCAAAATAAATATATAAATAAATAAATAAATAAATAAAGGGAGGTTACAGTTTAAGACCCTACTGTATAACACCGACAGAATTAGGTTGAGGCATCAAGTTTGATGCCATTCAAAAGAATTTTTTCTTTTAAATTGACAAACAAATTTTTTGATTTTTAAGATTTGTTTGAGATATTTGGATATTTACGCATTTCAGAAAACCCTGCGTTAAGAGCACAATGTAATACATTTAGAATTTTTGCAAAAATGATTGTGCTTAGGCTTTATTTTAGAAATAAAGTAATGGAAAAAAACTTTTTGTACCTGGACTTAGATACACTGTACTGATAGGTAGTACTTTATTATGATTGGTTGGAAGACTATTTAAAGCTTTCTTTTTCTTGCGAGATTTTTCACTAATAAGACGTCGAATCTGCAATCGCATATGATGATGAAACGGAGGATGCTTGGGCGAAGCTTCATCAAACTGTGAATGACTATAACGTCGAACCTATAAAATAATAAATTTGACTTTAATTTTACCGTAAAACACTGACTATTAAGAGTGACTTATGATATTATTGTCTATAAATAAAACAGAGAATTATAATAGAATAAATTAAATCGAACAAAAGAAACATGAAGACACCCTGCATGCATTTATGTCGAAGCTTTTCAGTGACTAACTAAGGTGTGAATCGTGCCCCTTTGTTCCAGTTCAATTTATTATAATTCTTTAATTTTTAAACAAATGTATTTAAAGACAAATTTTAGGCTTATGTTGCCTTAGCGCTTTTCCAAATTTGTTTTAGATTTTATTTTAATTTATTTCTGTTATATTTTGAAATTGATTCTTTGCCATAATTTTAATTAAAAATATGATTTTGTGTTGTTAATCTTAACTTTAAAAGTAGGAGGAAAAATTAATGGAATGCAAAAGGGAAATATTGCATATGTTGGATCATTTTTTTGCGAAAAATTAGTCAATTTTATAGTTTTGTCATCAATTAACCTTTCACTCTACGCATAACTGGACATAGATGTTACACCATGCTCAGTAAATATTGGCAAATTTTTTATATAAGGTTAGCCAAACTCAATTCTCCAATTTCATAGGTTTACTATGCAAAATGTAATAAATGTATTCATTAATAATGTATACACATTCATAGGTAATATAAGCAAGATTTCAACCTCACAAATGTTCGTAATGCGTTCCTTTTGTTATACGGCATACATTAAGTCTCAAATGCATTAGCAGTTTACAGCGATTCCTATCAACTACTTTTAACGTTAGTCAAATAAAGAAACAAAGTTCAAACGCGAAAAATGTTTCGAATCTTATTGGTGCAAATCCTTTGCACGTCCGTCAGCGTACGCAATGAGAATGCCTCTGTGGCCGAGCATTAATAAGATCTACGTCTCATGCTCGGAAAAATTGATGAGAAATGGGTCGAATTGTTCCTGAGAAATCAAATTTTAAATATCTCACTTTTTAAAAATTAGATTTCACAGGAACTATAAAGGACTTTTTTGTGCCTGATTTCGTAATTTAAAATATCATCTGCATTAGCTAATTAGCATATTTGCGGCCACCCCCTCAAACCATTAAGATTTAGACCTAGAACATGAAGATCCAACCATTAGGTTGGTCCGTTTTTTGTTTCTCGCACTGTACTTAATCACTTGGAGGATATAAAAAAGCATTGATCACTTAAATCACAAACATTTGATAATTTCCTACCAATTCCTTACTCACTATCGAGAAAAGCATAGAGTTTGAAAGTTAGTTAAAGGAACAAATTCGTAAAAAGAGCTTTGGAATAAAAACTTATTACAAGTAAACATGAATTAAAACTTCTTAATATTTCCTCATATTTAACCAAGTCAATTTTTTTTATTCACAATCATTTTGAAAATTGGTTCAAATTAAATTCGCCCATTAAGTTTGTCTTTCAAAAGAAGTGAAGCAGTGATTATATTTCGAAAGTAGATTGTAGTCACTATATAAAAAAAAATGTAGTAGTAGTTGTGGTTAACTACAATTGTAATAAAGTAGTTGTAGTTAAATACATAGAAAATGTAGTTCTTCCGACCACTGGTATTGTAACCATTGAATGTGTGTACGTGTATTTTGTTGTATTATATTTGCTTATGTTCAAACCAAATTCAATTAAAATCTCTCGCGTGGTTTGATTGTTAATGTTTCACCAAATCTACATGAATGGGCTTGTTAGTCTGGAAATTCGAAGTCCAAATCTGAAAATTCTTTTAATTTTGAACCCCAGAGAATCGTTACTTACCCAATCATTCTAATATTATTAAAAGTTACGAATAAAGTTATAAAAAGAATGTTCAATTTCTTACCCTCTTCGGAGGTTTAAACATGGCATCTTCCAGAATGTGATGAATTTCTGAATCTTTGAGATCCTTAAAACTTGGATTGTAAGTCAATTCAGCCACATCAATATTTAAGAGTGGAGGATCACTAATCAGTCCATTGGGTTCCTCTGGAGTAGCAAGTCTGAAATGGTTAATATATTATATACATTATATATATATATATATACATATACATACATTATATATATATATACATTATATCTATACATATATATATATATAATTTTCTTTCAGGCTATTTTAAATTCATCCATATCCAAAAACAATCAGTTGTTTTCTGAGGTTGTTGATGAGGTAATTGGATTTTATATTAAATTTAATTTTAAAAAAGTGAAATTCTAAATAACTCTCGAGTTAGCTGTCAATTACATTGCATTTGTAAGTTCATTTTAGCTTAAGTTCATGTCAGAATTATGTCATATAAATCGCTTTCAATTTTATTCATAAATCTGTGATAAAAATAGCAAACTATTTTCACATTTTAATGAGTGTTTTCTTTTTTCTTCTTTAACTGTATCTTTATTATGTTTTGACAATCTTTTTTTTAATATTTTTTTTGTTATCATTTAATGTTTCATTCTTTAGTTCTCCCTAATATTATTTTATATCAATGATGTAAATGATTTTTTTTTTTACCTTTTCTTTAATTGTTTTTAATTCTCGTCAAAGTGTTTGTTTCTTTAGCTGTTAAAATGTAATGCAACTTAGTTTCTTTGAGCTGTTATGTTCAAATTAAGTCTCATTGTTGAAATTTTTGCATAACTTAACACTTCTGATTTCCATTTTTAAATAATCAGATTTTATTAAAAACTCTTTTTTTTAAATTTAATTTTAAATGTTTTTTTCCTTCTTATTATAATTTTTTAAGTATATATTTTGTTAATGTGTTTATTAATATAGACTTGGTTATTAAAAAGTGTCTAATTTATAATTTTTATTTAATTTTTTTATTTTATCAAAATCAAATAAAATATATTACAATGCTTGCATTTTTATGCTGCTTTTGCGTACAAATATCTTATGTTAGGAAGGGTTTATAATATTTTTTCCTAGTTGTTATTATTATTATAATTTGTATATGCTTAATACAAAGCTGCCAACTTTCTCTGCTTTGTCAGAAATCAGCTTCAAATTTATGCACCAATGCATGAATCTTGAGATTTAATATGA